AGATTTGAAAATGTTGGAATCTATCGTTTCAGTTCTGCCATCTGATTGGTTTTCATTGTCTGGGCGGCCCCGGTTTCAGTAAAGGCACTGTAAATGGTTTCCCAGGGACCAAAAATTTAGTCATTTGTTATAAAGCACAACGAAGACGAGCGGTCGTGGAGGCGGTCGTCGCTCAAGTGCCGTCAACATGTATTCGCAGTCAACATTGCACTGTTACCCTCTGTCGTCAGAGATTTACGATGTTGCCCGCTCAGAGAAGTTTGGTGGGAGTTCAACCGAGTTCAACTTCTTGGCTACGCTTGTAAATAGCCAACTGGTCTGCCTCCCGCCAGTTGGGATTCTTAATCCAGTTATGTTTATTTGAATATTTACTTATCATTGTTTGTTTACATTGGTCCTGAAAAGTCCCAATGGGAAGTGGCCAATTACGTATACATACATACATACAGACAGACAGACAGACACACACACACACACACATACATACATGTATTGTTAAATGTGACATGTCATGTGACCTCGAAGAATCATGAGAGAGCGCGCTGTAGGGGAAAAAATTCCAGCTATATGACAAGTGACCTTATGTTCTACGATACCATCGCCACATGGCAGTTTGGGAATAAAAGGGTCAAAAGTCTCCACACTAATACAGGAATGCGTCAAAAAAATTTTCAGAATTACAATCAAATTTAACACTGGAAAATGTGTCGAAGAAGAGATTAGTTCTTTATAAACGTTTATGAAGAGAAAGTATGAGGGAAATTTTTCCCACCCGTTGTTGTATTACAGGTGCCAGTAAGAACACTGAAATGAATGNTTTTTTTTTTTTTTTTTTTACTGTTTTCGTTTAAGGGTTTGCAAGTTTTTTTTTTAGTCGACAACTCGTTGTGACAGAAAATATGGGAACCAAATCGATCGAATTCTTATAAAAAGCCCGTCCCAGGCCCTCATTTCATCAGTCCGTAGACAAAAAGGGATAAATATCTTAGCTTTGGATGTCTTGGCTGCCGCATATGCCATGGATCAACAATTTAGTAAAAATAAGTGGATTTAAGTTTCGCGTGATAGCGGTTTCCTTGTCTCCCTCGGTCGTGGTTTTGACAACTAACACTTGCCCTAATTCTCGCTATCGTGCGAAAACCGAATGATTATGATCCAACAAAAGTTAATCTGCAAGTGAATATATGAATGATACATTTGAACTGCGGTGAAAGAGACGAAGACATGACTGATCATCTCAGTTATATACAGATTTAAAGCAGCTGTCAAATTTAAGCCTGAAAAAAAATTCAGGCTTGAACGGGGCTCGAACCCATGACCTCTGCGATACCAGTGCAGTGCTCCACCAACTGAGCTATCAAGCCAAGTGGGAGCTTCGCCGTAGATGGCGAAGAATGCAAGTGAATATATGAAATATCATATATTTGAACTGCGGAGAAAGAGATGAAGACATGATTGATCATCGCAGTTATATACACAACTTAGCAGTTGTGAAATTAAAGTCTGAACGGGATTCGAACCAACGACCTATGACTTTTTTTCAGGCTTTAATTTCACATCAGCTTAAGTTATGTATATAACTGCGACGATCAATCATGTCTTCAAAAGTTAATCTATAGTGAAAAGGCTTTTCTGTTACAAAAGAAATAATGTTTTTTTTTTTAATAGATCACACATTTCAACGTCGCTTGGAAGATCTCAGTGAAGATGTTATCCGTCAACTCAAGTCAAGACTACAAGGCGACCACGGTGCTACGAGACTTATTTATCAATCATTTAGAGTCCCTTTTCAGGGATCGATGAATATTTTCAAATTATTTCCTGACACTCCTGTGAAGTTATTTGTAGACGTTCTTGAGGCTTTACAGCTTTATGATCTAGTAGATTTGCTGTCGGAGATACCGCAACCTGTCAGATCGTTACGGCCCGCTCTTCCTTTACAAGAGATAGAGAAACTGAGGAAAACTACTGATCCTCGTCCCACAACCTATCATAGTAATGTTGCTGTTCTGATTATTACTGGCGAAAAGAATTCTTTTTCAGAAGGGATTGAGAGGTTTTTTAAAGGTTTCGGCTCAAAGAGCGATGTAACTGTATTTGAATGGAAAAGACTAGCATACGGCGAGTTGAAATCACGGCTATCACGGCCAGAAAGACTGGATGAAAGAGAGAGGCAAAGGAGGATGCAGGAGATACGGAAAGAGATGGAGACCAATGAGACCGCTGTGTCAGCGGTCATAGAAAGGTGGATACACAACCAAGGTTGGTGATAATGGAAATAAAATATTTTCTACTTTATATCAACCTGACCTTGCCTTTAACGTGATTTCGTTATATTTGACTAACATCAATATATTTACTGAGTTTCCATTTCTTTCATCCCAACATAAATCTGATGGTGTTTAGTTCTGTGAACAAGGAGGGTGGAGTACAGGTGTAAAATTCTTAGTGGTTATTAGCCTGCGTAGCTTGGCTGTTTTTAAGCAATTTAAGCGCGCTATGGTAACGAGCGCCAAAGCCGCGTTAACGAGCAGCGAACCGCCAAGCTACGCAGGCTGAGTGGTTATAAATTCGTAATATTCTAGCAAGTGTTGGAGAATAAATGAGCAAGAGCTGTACAGTCTGGAATTGGGATGGATTATCATTCTTAGGGATAAAATAAATAAACAATTATTGGAGGGGTTTTTGTGATATTCGGAATGATCGAGGTCGAGGTAAGTGTTATCAGCCTCAGCCTTCGGCTTCGGCTGATAACACTAACCAAGACCTTGATTATTTTGGGTTTCACAAAAAATGAATCTAATAATTGTTTTATTATACATTGCACCGAACACAGTTTATTTTCGACAAACCATGTTCTTACTTCGCTGTCCGTGAACTTGACAGTTCCCTTGGAAATTATGCATTGCGCGCGCAACCTACAGATAATTCACTAATTTGTCAGCAGATTAGTGAATAATCTGTAGGTTGCGCTGTTTCCCATAATTAACTGTAGGCTTTTGGCCAATGAGAAGACAGATGGTGATTAAAATGTATAATAATGGTTGAAAACGTCTAACTTAAAGCTCTTAAAGAGTTATAAAGATATCAGTGAACACGAAGAGTTGGTAATTTGACTATTNAAACAAGTTATATTCCGTTATAAAAGAAATAATGGATTTTTTCCCCTTTTTTAGATCACCCATTTCAACTTTGCTTGAAAGATCTCGAGGAAGATGTCATCCGTGAACTGAGAGTAAGACTAGCTGGCGACCAAGTTGCTGCGAGACATATTTATAACTCATTTGGTATCAAAGGCCCTTTTCACGAATCGATGAATATTTTCGCATTATTTCCTGACACTCCTGTGAAGTTATTGAAAGACGTTCTCGAGGCTTTACAGCTGTATGACCTGGTAGAATTGCTGGAGAGAGCGCAGAAACCGCAACCTGTCAGATCGCTACGACCTGCTCTTCCTTTACAAGAGATAGAGAAACTGAGAAAAACTACTGATCCTCGTCCCACAACATATCATAGTAATGTTGCTGTTCTGATTGTTACTGACAAAACGAGTCATCATACAAAAGGGATTGAAGGGTTTTTCAAAGGTCTCAGCTCAAAGAGCGATGTGACTGTATTTGAATGGAAAACACGGGATTACGAGTTACAATCACGGCTGAGTTGGTTGGGGAGACTGGATGAAACAAAGGTTCAAAGGATGGAACAGGAGGCGCAGAAGGAAATGGAGACCAAAGAGACAGCTTTGTCAGCGGTCATAGAGAGGTGGATACACAACCAAGGTTGATGACAATGAAAATGAAATATTTTCTACTTTATATGAACGTGAATCTGACCTTGCCTCTAACGTAATTTCGTTATATTTGACTAAACATCAATACATTTACTGAGTTTCCATTTCTTTCATCCCAAGATAAATCTGATTGTGTTTAGTTCTGTGAACAAGGGGGGTGGAGTATAGGTGTGAAATGCTTAGTGGTTATGAATTCGTAATATCCTAGCAAGTGTTCGAGAATAAACGAGTAAGAGTAGTACAGTCTGGGATTGGGATGGATTATCATTCTTAGGGAGAAAATGAAAAGCAGATATTTGAGAAGGGCGAAGACAGAAACAACGATACCAATGTCCAACTTTCGTTTAAAAGAAAACTTTCCAAGCTTTTGCGCTAGCCTGGCGTGTTCCTCACTTTTTGATAACATTTCTCACGTGTCTGAAGAGCGTGGTGCCTTTGCAATCATTTACTCTCCATCTCCGGTGTCCCATCTAACGTAATCAATAAGAAGACATTTATCACGCCATGAAATGTCTTTGAAAATGTCGATTTCCTCGTGCTCACGGAAGCTTGCACCGAGCGCGTGTGGGAAGTTTTCCCGACCTGCTCACATTAAACCGTCCGATCATACAAAAATGCCCGCTAATCTCCCTATATTGTTTTCTTTACATTTAGCACAGCGGTTTTGTAACAGTATTAAGAAAGAATGCTGATCTTTGTTCTTTTTGTACCACTTTTTTTAGGAAACTATTCATTGTTTGCTGTGTTTGTAGCCGAGATGTTCAGGATGTTTGAGTCTACGTATTTTTTTGGAGAGGCAATGAAAAGACTGGTGTCCGAAATTCCAGACAAAATTAAATTTTTTATAGGGAGCTGGATCCCAGTCAGTGTCCGAGAATCTTCAGAGAGCCTCGTGGTAATTGCTGCTTATGCCGAATACGCGCTCCTTGAACGTCTGATGCTGGATATTCTTAACAAGCGCTGGCAGACGCTGGACCTGATATCAATGATGGAAGAGTTAAAAAGGTCTGTGACTAAAGAGCATATCGGGCCTAGGAAGATATGGTTTAACCCGGCTTTTCCAGTGGTACCAGTACTAACAGACAGTTTGTCGTCTCGTCCAAGATTTAAAAAGGAGGAGGATCCGACTGACAGTGCGTAAGTTAATTGTCTTGATAGTTCTTTATATCACACAGCTCCAATTGATCTTATTGGTGGAAATGTCCTGGTTTTCAAAAGCCAAGAAAAAAAGAACCAAATAAAATATCGTGGATAGCTTTGATTGTAGAATTATAAAACCATTCGTCGCTCAGATAAATGTACGGTAAAAGGTGTGGGTAGTTAACTTTCTTAACTCTTTCGTCTGCCTGACCGACAGACACCTTGTCGGTCTAACTTGTGGTCATAAGGACTCGATGCCAAAGGTCTGAAAATCACCTTCACCTTTCCTCCTGCTTTGAGCACCTTTGGGTCCGCTATTGAGTACTTGGTTCTGACACGAGACTAACACTCGAAACAGTTCCTATTGTGGAATTATAGTTGGTGACAATTGTAAACTCACGATTGACTGTAACACAGAAGATGAAAGGCTCGGAATCATTTTCTTGTATAGATTTTGAACAGTTTTTATTACAGGTAAATGATGTGATTTACTTAGCTTTTAGTGTATCTGTTGGTGTAAAGTCTCGCCGTGGCCAATGATACCTTGGCGGTGTAGGAGGGTATGAATGGAATCACGGTTTAACTGATAGCTGAGTCCACACTACTTCGTAGAAATTTGAAAACGATGTCTTCACTCTGAGAACGCATCAAATGTTTTCCGTCCACTCACACTACCCCGAAGAAATTTAAAATCATCGATCATTTTGGATTTGCGTTTGAGGAAAACTCGGTCAGGGGAATCATATGATCGTGTCGTGATCGTTTTCGAAAAGCTCCGTTTTCAAAATCCACACTAAAACGCAAGCCTTGGTTTTTCAAATTCCTCCAGTTTGAAGAACGTTTTGAAAAGCTCCGTTTTGGTGACGGATTAGTGTGGACTGTAGGGCTAACTGTAGAAATAAAGCTGCGTTTTCAAATATCTCCTGCGCAGTGTGGGCGAGGCCTAATATAATGCACGGCATATTGTATTTTTTCTTATGCGGAAACAGACTAGTGATGTGTTTAATATGACTCAGAGCACGCTTTTGAAATGAAATTTTCCCGGATGATATCGTGTTTAAATAACTACTTCTGTGAGTTTGCTAATATTATTTTGCAAAATAAAGAAGAAAACGCCAAGGATGATGAAACGAAATCAAACACAAACAAACCAACCAAAACAAAATTTTCCACCAGCCTGTCAATTTTGATCTCTTGCCATCTTGTCACAAAATCAAAATGATGAACTGTTATCCACTTCCATACTTGGGATGCTGCGCTTTTTTCCCCAAGAGCTTGTCCTTTTCAATTTTACTGTATAGGATCTTTTTATCCAATTTATTTGTATCATTGGTAGCATTTGGCAATATGATATCGATATTCAAAAAGGCCAACTTTCGATAATCAGGAGGGACACTGTACCTTTAATTGTCAATTTTAGGTCCAGTATCGGAAAATTTAGTTAGTTATTTGTTCTATTTCATTTAGTTAGTTATTTGCTGTTAGGCGCACGGAGTTGAGAAAAGCGCCCTTTAAAAATGTAAATATTATTATTATTACAGAGGTATTAAAATAATACTTCGTTCACATGAAGCGACTGACAAAACATAAGCTTCTTTCTCTAAAATGTCACTTAATTAATCAAGTATGCTAGAGAAATACACTTAGAGATGAAAGATAGGAAACTTAAGATAACTTCTCTTNCCCCCCCCCCCCCCCTCACCCTGGGTAGAATTGCCCCCAACTGTGACTCTTACAAAGTGTTAGAAGTTCATGGCTTATACTTGTAACGGACGCCTTATTGTATTTCATTAATTTTGGTTTAGCTTTATCGCACCAATAGACTGTTCCGAGTCATGAATCACATTCAAGAGGTTCACTGTGAAGTCTTGTTGTTATGATGCACATTTAAAGTATGATATTATTGATAAGAGCAAGCAGTTATTACTAGTGAAGTGTTGTTAACAGTAGCAAGGATTAGCACAGGATAGAAATCAGCAGTTAAGCTATTGGTAAATAATATGATTGAATATCTGAATTCAATAAACTTGAGTTTTCCCAGACATCATTATTTGCAGACTGTTATTCTCATGAGGTCTCTCATTGTTATCCAGTTTCCCCACAAGAGAGGCCGAGATGTCAAAAAGTCAAACCAAAAAAAAAATATTATTTTACAGAAGAGGCAAAAATTTTTACATCATCTAGTCCTCCTTTTCCCATGGGGGGCACAGGGAATCCACAGTTGCCTTCTACCTCTGTCAGTCTTGAGCCCCTCTTTTGGCCTCGCACCAACTCAAGTTGGTCTCTGTCAGGTCTATCTGGATGCTTCAATGCCAGGTGCAGAAAGATGATTTTAAAGTTCTAGGTCAGTCAAATTTGATGTGCTATGTAGAAATTTCTGTGCCATACAATGGATTGGAACCCACAAGGCACACAAAAATGAGGCAGATCAGAGCTGTGATATTAATTGATTTTTTTGTTTGAACCATCACTAAAAGTTAACAAGCTTGGTACCCTATAACCAGAGACACTATGGAATGCATAGCAAGCGTTCCCTTACGAGGCGAATGTGGGCCGCGCAAAGGAGTTTTTCGTATTCGGGCCGCGCAAAAAATGGGAAGGAGCAAAAAGGTGGAAGGAGAGGGGTGGGGGAGGGGAGCAAAGTTCCCTTCGCTCGGCCTGAATGCGAAAAACTCCTTTGCATGGCCCATGTTCACCTCATATGGGAACGCTTGCTACGCAGGCTAGAGACACTACACAAAACTATGCAGGCTATTCTACCAGAGGGTATGTAAATTCCTGTCTTGACCCACAATGAAAACACTAAAGAGACCTGTTTCACACATTTTAATAAGGCCTTTTACAGTGGATTTCAATTCACTTTGACCGTGCAGGTTTGAAAACATCTTTGGAACTTGGGTACCATGTTCCTGAATTCATGGTTTTATTGTTATTGGAGCCAATCAAGTTATGAACTTTCAAATGAAAACTACGGGTTTGATCTCGAAGTTCGATTCCAAATTGCAAACTTCGCTTCTAAATAATTATTGTGAAAAGCAGGTATAGGGATGGCGTGCGCCGAAGGAGTTGGAAGTGATAACTTAAAAAGTTGGTTATCAACTTTCAAACATCAGCTAGATTCGTAAACATGTATTTACATATAAGAGACACTTGAAGCGAACCAATTCTGTACTCAGCTCAAAATTAAACTTATTAGAGAAGAAGAATTCAGCTTGATGTTTGTGGTTTAGGAGGGATCTTAGGTACAAGTTGTTGCTTTGTTTACTTATTTCATCAGCAAGTTCCTAATTAAAATTGTTGGGTTTGCACTTTCGGTCGCCAGTCTGTCTAGTGTGTGGATCTGATCACGCACGCAAATTAGGTTTCTCAGGCAATAAAATTCTCGTTGTTAGATTTTTCGACGAGTTTTACCCAATTGTTGGCACTGTTCTGTATTGTCAGTTGACTCTCTCGCTGTTACATTTAGTCGCTTGTAGGACTATCCGAAATCTTCCCGAAAGGCTCAAGTTATTGAAGATGTGGATGGACAATTTTCTCTCAGACACACCTTGTTACACGAAGTTCGCAATGTGGAATCAAACTTCGAAATCAAACTTGTAGTTTACATTTCAACGTTTGCAAGTCAATTGCCTCCAATAACAATAAAACTGCAAATTCAGGAACGTAGTTCCCAAGTTCTCAAGATGTTTCCAAACCCGCCTAGCCAAAGTGAGTTGAAATCCACTGTAATAATTGGTATTTCTACGAAATTTTATTGCTAACTGGAAAAGCTGATTCAAAAATAATACAAAATTTGTTTTTGAATTATTAACCTACCACATCAAATTAAGAGTGTCCATGTGTGTTTGTTTAATGTTTTCTTTTTTCTTTTTTACTGTCTTATATTCTGCTGCATTTTAACTTTAAGTGAGTTGTAGTTCATTCTAGCTAAACTAAACTGAAAAAAGGTCTATGCCATTTCCAATTCTTAGGTCATATATTAATTAATGTAGAAAAATGTCTGTCCTAATAAATAGGTGTAACTAGAAATACCTTAAAATACAACTCAAAAAGCAAAAAGCATTGATTTCACTAAAATTAATAGGAAAAACTGCATGGTCCCCTTCAACAAGCCTGGCTGCGACTCTGTAATGTCCCACAGAATGAAGACAATGAAGCAACCTGCAATGTTTTAATTACTGTACCTACATTGAGAGACTAACTGGATCAATTTCAACTCATCTTAGCCAGGAACACAATGTGTAGAAAGGTGGTCGCACCTTTATCTAAATTCCTTTCTTTTCAGTCTCTAGAATTCTATAACAACATCACAATACTTGACCTACATTACTGAGTAGTAAGTATAACATATCCTTGATTCCCCAAAACATGTTTGTGTGACTCTTCCACCAGAATATCAATTCATGCTTCTAGCTTGCGTTTCTTGGATTGAAGATGAGTTTTGTCCACAATACTATCTTCCAACTTCTTATACCTGGCTGTTAGTGGATCATAGACTTGAGGAGCTTCACCACATGGGTCTGATACCAACACATAAGGAGGCGCTTCACTAACCGCATCCCAAAATGTCTTGCCATCAGCCCTCTCCAAACCATGTTTTGCCCGATAGGCACACCCTAAACAAGCTGAGTTTGCTGTGTCTTTAAGGACAAAAACTGGAGCATCAAATACATCGGCAATCACTCTCAGTATGGCAGGATTTGATGATGCACCACCAGTTGCAAATATGCGAGTTGAATAACCTGAAAATAAGGAGCTGCTAAGCTAAATTGAAAAATTGAAATAATGATCATTTGTTCAGTCGTTTACTGTGTGTGTTGATGGCCGAGGATAAAAATTAAATACAGTTCTAAGTGTTGAGACACTTTGCTGCACAATATCCCACTAAGAGTTTTATTTTCAACCCTATTTTTGGTGTGGTCAAACATGGTCTTCCATGTTTGCTATCAATTATTACATCAAGTCCTACACTCGGTGTCATAGGTAAGTGTTGTGAGAGTTCACACAACCTACCCTAGTGTCTGCAAAATGTTGTATCATTTGAATGAATGAGTTGCCAGTAATCGGATACCCGAGTTTGCGCAAAGAACTCTGGGATCATCAGGGGGCAAACATTGCAAGTCGCTAGAAGAAAATGTATGAGGAAATGTTGTTTCGACGCCAAAAAACATGGTTTTGGGGAGAGATCAACGCTTTTTCGCCATTGTTTTAT